CCTCGTATTTGCTTTCCCCGGGCATTTGCGTAATCAAGTTACTCTGGCACAAGTGTTTGTACAAACCAGATTTCAAAATCTGACGAAGTATTTGTAAAGACAGATTTTGAGACTTTTTTCAAACCCTGCCATGGGTTGGTTGCCTGATGCATCCCCAAAAAGCTACTCAGCTCTCTGAGAGAAGGGTTTAGACCAATCTAAAACAGTAAAAACAAACTAAACTCAAACACGTTTACACAGACACCTTCCTACATTGAAGGGGAGCACAGACCAAAACACACAAAGGTTCTAAGTCGGTCTAATAAATATTACAGAAACACTTGAAGTTGGCTGGTAGAGATACACTACAACTTTGATGAAAGATCAGCTGCTTTTTGTGATTATTCAGATAAAGAGAACTGATTGTTTTTTAAAAAACCCTCAGGTCCAACATATTTTAGACCTTGTGTCTCCTGACGGGCACTTGTGACAGGGTAGAAGGGTGCAGGGCCCAACCTGAAGGGCAGCGAGGCACAGAAAGCCAGAGCTGACCCCGTAGTCCCTCACTGGGGGTGAGGGGACCCTGTCTCCAGGCCACCTCTCTCCTGCAGTGCAGTGCCACTGATTCCCGGGCCACAGCTGTGCTCTGACCTCGCTGCCGGGGGTCACAGAGCACAGAAGGGGAGCGAGTGCTGCCGCAAGAGGCATTAATGAATCCTTTTTGACACGCTGCTGGGGCTGTGTTGGACGGGAGGATGCCTCCCCGAATGGCTGAGGGGTGACACCCCTACCCCCACAGTCCATCTGCTGCACCAAGACCAGTGTCAGCACTGAGAGGGAGGAATGGACCAAAAATCCACACCCCACACCCCCCCCCCGCCCCGTATCCTTTCCCTTCCCAACATACACTGCGGCTTAAGTGGAAGAGTAACTCAAAGATGTTCAGGATTCTTCTGTCTGCTCAAGTCAGCCAGGGACAAGCAAGAGTATTGCACCAGGACCGACCCCTGCCATATGCTAGGGATTATCTCCAAGGAATAGACAACAGATAGGCACACAAAGGTAGCTGATGCAGAAGGGACAGATCTGGAATCTTTATGTCTAATGCAGCACATACAGGGGTAGCTGAACCAGCAGCACCACCAAAGTGTCCTCATAACTTGAGCAAAGACTAGGTTTTGTAGACTTGACCGCCATTGGGGCAGCTTCACAGCACTGGCACAGCCCTGGACAATTCCTCCCTCTCTACAGCTCCAGGGAGCAATGCAATGCCTGAGCCTCTGGTGCAGCCATTCTCCTCCTGTCCAGCAGACGTCTCAGAAGGACACCAACACCCTGCTCTCCCCACTTTCTTAAGTGATTGCCCTAATGTGGTCAGCTGTTCCGTCACCAATTTTTGTTCTGTGCAACAGAAAAGGGTGCACGTGCCTTCTACAGCGGGTGCTTCTAGAAAGGGCAGTTGTGTTTCAAACGTGCTCTGACAAGAGCTATGAAAAAACTGAACCTGGACTTGTTTGAATACACACATTAGAACTCTGGATTTATGGCTTAACATTTGGAGAAGTTAATAGAAATTACACAGAATATGCTGATTATTTGCAAAGGGTTTTGTGTTCTTTTTTTTTCCGCTTGTGTCAACAGTGGGATTCATGTAAGGGAATTGGAAACTAGTTCATCTTGGTGACATGTTCCATGCAAGTTGCACCTTACACTAGAGGAGCCATGCTTGTCTCACAGGGTGAAGAATTCAGAGGGCTGAGCTCCTGTATAAGGTCTTTCTTGACAAAAAACTTTCGTTAAAAGGCCCTTACTTTCTCAAATGAGGTCCTGTTTTAGGAGTCTGGTGCTCTCCCATTTTGACTTAAGCTAGGCTCGAGGCAAACAGAGGCCTAATATGATTTTTTAATGATTTAAACATGGCCTTTCAGTATGACTATACTCACTGCAGCAGGCCAGGATACCGCTCTCATGAGCAGCACTTTTGCTTTTGCAGCAGATTTCACATGAACCAGAAAAAAACCCAACCCCCAAACCAATCAAGGTCTCTATATAACTCATCTGAAAGGATCATTGGAGGTCTGCTACTTCTCCTTACCCTTGTACTAGGCATCTATTCAAAAACATGGTTCCAGGAACACAGGAACAAATGAAGACTGCTTTCCTATGGATTTATGCCTGTGATTAATTACCTCTGAGTCTAAGGTACAAGCTCTAATTGAAGCTGGTCTCATGCCTGGAAACTTATGTCTCTCCCTTATCTGGATTACTGGATATCAGTACAGAACGCAGTTTTCTTCTGATCGCTCATCTCCACACTTAGAAGAATTCTAAAAATGTAGTGACTGTGAGATCTGCCAGATTTGGTTGAAATTAATTAGTTATTCTAAAGCTGAACGGCAGAATGATCCCCTATCCCGTGTTTCCACGGGGAAGTGAGAAAGGCAGAGCATACTGCACTAAAGCCTGGTTAGCTTTACCACCTCTTTTTGGTGGTAAAGCCTCTGTGAACAAACTAATCCTGCACTTACTCATGCTTTTTCAAAAAAAGAGCCATGACTCAAGATGGTTATTAAAACACCACCACCACCTTACTGAATATTTCTCAAGAGTAGTAAATCAGCCATTATTCTGTCAAAAGAATCACAATTTACAAGAAAAAGCACATTCTCCCTATACCTTTCAAACAGAGACACAAAAGCAAACCACATTACTACATTACTGAGCTTCAATTAAAACAAAAAACATTCAACAATTTTGACAGCTCACTGGACACAAAACAATCCCAACACCCAGTTCTTTCCATATCTACCCTTTCCCTCAGTAATGATCTCAAATACAGAAAAGTGAGTTTGTTACAAGTACTGGTTTTTTTCCCTCTAAGTATTAAACTCTTCTGGGTTTTGTTTGAAGGTTTGACTTTTTTTTTAGAACCATACCTGTTCTTCCCTTCAGAAGTCCTGTTTTGGAAGCTTGCAGAATCCCAATTTGAAGTTGCATTACATTTTCTTGATCTCCTCTTCAAAACTTGTCTGTAATTGGCACATGAAAAATATTATACACTGATCCTTTGTTGCAGCATTTTACTATTGCAGTACATACCTGCACTTTTCACATGCTCCTAGGGGATTTTCAAATGCAGCAGACATGTGGATACAATTTTTTTTTAATTCTGTTTTTGAAAGAAATCACGTATTCACCTGTATCTTCAATTACTCCTTCCTAAGAAGATGACAGTTGAAATTACTCAAATGTTTTCCCTGCAATGCAAAGCTGCCTCCAGCTTTAGGTTTTCCTGTTGACATGTCAGTCATGCATGAACATACCACAATAATTCTTCAGGTCATAAACCACTCATTTTGGGGGAATCTTGGTTAAGCAAAGGAGTAATTGTTTTTTTAAACAAGAGCTGCCATACAAACTTATGAAAATCATGTCAGATAATGAAATTTTAGTATTTTTCACTCGTTTTTTTTTAAAAAGAGGCACTACAAACATCTAAAGTCTCTTTGCTGACAACTTAAATTATTCAATGGGATTTCATCTCTTCACAGAACTTCCTTGAAAAAAATAGGAAAATTTATCTTAACTGTCAGCTTTGCAAGAGACACCAAAAGGAGTTCAGACAATCCTTGCAAAACCCTGAACAAGTCAGATTGACAAAAATACGTATGTTCCCAAGATGTTTATTTCATTTCTTTGAAACTTGGTGGCTTTGTACTTTTAGTATTAGTCACAGAGTGTGAAATCACACTCATTTAAGAGTTGATGAGCAAACAAAATTTGTCATCATGTCATGTTTTTTTGCATATGGGACTACACATCCTAGACCTGAGACAGAAGCATACTGACACTTTGAACAGAAGTCACTATTGAAAGCATTTTTATTTGTCTTATCCTAGATGTCAGCAAATAAATAAATTGATTTTTTTCATTCTACCTTTTGACAGCTCTTTAGTTGTATGGGAATATGGAATAGTTTGCAGGACTGCAAAGCAGCCATACACTCAAATCAATATTCTGAGGCACAAAAAATCCATAATGGTCTGGTAATTACAATATGAAGCTACACTCTCAGTCAATTTACAATAATGTCTTTTAAGATGCCTACTAAAGCAGCCCAGACATACCTGAGACTTCAAAAAAAGTCTAAGGACAGCTTTCAAAACAGGTAATCCCTGGTTAGTCTGAAGGCTCAGCTCACATGTGAATCCCTACTTTGTTCAAGGCTGGAACCCCTCACTGCTGCTTTACCGATGCAGTCTGGTCAGGAAAGGTGCTTTTCATCCAAAGAAATTCCCTCTTCATTGACCAGATTTGTCCTTGAGGCAAATATGGCTCTCTTCATAGAGACAGTGACATCTTTTGCTAGACAGGCTCACAGATTAAAAGAAAACAACAAACACTAAGCAAACAGGGAAGCAATAGGCAGACAAGCCCTCGTTACTGCAGCCTGGATCCTCACACTTCTTGCACTTGCTGAACGCCAGAGCTACAGAACCTGGTATTTTCTGGCAAGGGAGAAAGAGAAATAAAAGCACAGGCACAGAGGCAGAAGGAGACAGAGAAGGTAACTCAAGGTTACCTGAGGAAGAAGCAGATTTGATATTAGCTATGTGCTTGAAAGTTTGTTTTGTGCAAGTGTGCAGCCCAGTTACATCACGCAAACCAACAGCCTTGTTTCACACGTGGCACTGACTGCCATGCAAACTCCATGACGCTTTTCCCTAGAAGCACAAAAATGGCAGCAAAATCTGTCAGAAGCCTTTCCTAATTTAACAGAGGCTAAATTATTTCCCATTTATATGTAGAAATTAAGGAAATCCCCAGCAGCAAGTATAACCTCTTACCATTTGTATTAACAGCTCACTAATTTAGAATTTACCATCTTACAGGCACTGTATCATTTCTGATGTCTCTCAGTACCTCACAGGAACAAATAGAGGGGAAACATTGTATTAACCTTCAAGTGATGCATATTTAACCAGTACCTCTTTAGACTAGCAAACAAATTACAATGGCAGTTAGAAAATAAAGCTCTTTTTTTTAATTCCTTTTTTCCTCATTTTCTACCAGGAGAGGCAAAACACAAGCAGCTGAATTAGACTGAGACACGTTATTAGAGCAGTGGGGACACAAGCTGATTTTACACTGACTGGTCTCTGCAAAGTCAGACCAGTTGTAGGCACACATCAGTACAGTGACTGTGCAAGTTTCAGCAACACCAATTCTTATACCTGCCAAGCCAAGACGTCAGGCTTGTAAAAGCACATATTTGGCGTAAGTTTTAAGAATGTAATAAAACAGGATATATATTTCTGTTTAAATGCTTAACTCCATAAAAGCATATTTACCCAATACCTTTCCCGTTAAACCACACAGTCTGTACAAATTGTTTTAATTAGGCACAGCTTCCCCAGTAAAGGAATGCACCCAGCTAGATCCACTGTACAGTATAAAGGTATAGAGTTAGAAATACACACACGTGCATCTGACATATGTAACAGTTATGAATAAATGATACTAATTCCTACCTGCAACATGCAGACAGTTCAGACTATTTAAAGACAGTTTAGAGCAGTTTTGGGGAACTTTCCCAGAGAAACAGAAGATATTTAGTTATTCAATTTAACGATGATGTTCCCTTTATAAAACTGCCTGGCTTTCTGCTTTACCCTAAGGCATCTGCTGTCCAATTCAGTGGTTCACACGCAGAAAAGCATCAAGCAAAAATTACCTGCAGGTTTATAATTTTGGAGCAATCTCTACAGCAAACACTACCAAATAAAGCAGACTGTTATTTCATTGGGAGGTATGACAGTTTGATCAACATTTGTAGACTCCTGAAGCAAGATGAACTACTGCAACACCCATCTCAATTGATTAAGACATGTAGCATTGGTTTTTCTTTGGTCCAGCTATATCATATGGACTGAACTTGCAAGTGCCTATGTGGTATTTCATCCTTTAATGTGAAGTTATTAATCAAGCTTTAATTGAGGAAGCAAAGCTTAACTACTACAGTCACTACAGATTATGTTATGCCAAACTTAATACAAGAAACACTTTCAGATTCACTGAAGACTCACACCAAGTGTGTGGTTTCATGCAATGGAACCAATATTCATGCAACTATTGAGTTTGAAAAATTTAGCTAAATGCTCTAATTTTTCCTCAAAGCACATGATTCTAAAGCACTTGTTTAAAACATAAGCTCAGTGGTCTCCTTTTCTTGATGTGATACTCAAAGGTCCTTAACACCCCCTTGGTACTTCCCACCCCACCAGTTCCCTTTTCAGGGGTTTGAGGATCTGCCAAGGACAGTGCATAGTAGGGAAGGTCACTCGTGGGAAGGCAGAGCTTGTCAGACACAGCACGGTGTTCTCTTCATGTTCAGCAACTTGCTTGGTTCAGATCTACAGAAAACAACCGAGTCACTGGCAGATGTCTCCCCTGGCAGAGCCAGCGCTAACACATTCCAGAAACCAGTCCATCTTTTCCTCTTCTCTGCTCCCTGCTAGCTTGGGGCTTTTTCCCCAGCAGCAGCTTGTGATGGCAAACATTTGTTATTTTGTAACAAAACCATAGGCTGTACTTGAATTATTCCTTTCCCCTAAAAAAGCCTCATAGGAAGAAGTCTAATTATATACATTCTAAACTGAATGTGAAGAAAAGACCACCATCCCATGTGGTTTTACCTTTTGTTATTATAAAAAAAAAGCCAAGAGGAAACCCTTGGTAAGAGTGGAGCATATTAATTATGACAAGACATCATGACATACCAGTGAGATGTAAAGGCCGCTAATAACACTTTTTGTAGTAATTAGTGCAAGATAGTTATCCCATATAAACAAATACTTGATGGTAGACTTCAGTGATAAACAATTCACTTGATGACATTTACATATAAATACACATAAATAAAAACCTACGTAATTTAGGTTTGTAGTTAACAAAAAGTATGGTCTGAAATGAATTAAATGTAATTGTATCTAGCTGGATCAAAGCTCTTCCTATAATGATACTCAAGTATGCGGGGTATGAAAAGCATAAATGTACAATTCTCAATTTAGTAAAGTACTACTCTATAAAACAGAATAATGAAAACAGCTCTTACATTTTAATGTAAAGTATAAAATTGTATATTTACATTTACATACACTTTACTGAACTACATTAGGTAGCTCATGGTAAAAAAACATCCCTTTTTGAAAATCTTGCAAAAAATACATCAACTGCAGATATGATCAAAAGTTACTAAGTTAGCAGCTGACATAACATCTGTATTAAAAATATATTTTAGGAAAATACCTGGAAAGATCTAAACACCAGTAAACACTTTAAAACTATTTGTGAAGTAAAAATTGTAGCAAAACCCAGAAGAAGCTAGCAAGGGTAACAGGAACTATTGCATACTGCTCTTTAAGAGCCATGTAGAGACTTAGAACAGAAGCAGCAGATATGGTAGGAGTTTTGTGGTGTAACACACCACAAAGTGGAAACCGGAGGAAAATAGGAAACCAGTTATCCAACTTCTCTCTCGGTTTATTATCACTTTTATGGGGAGAAGTATAAGAAGATGACAGAGTTCCTCTCACTGAGCTTATCCTCCATCAAAGGCTAAAACAAATTGGTAAAAGGAACCCAATTTCAAGAGCCTTGGACCCCGAACTTAGAAACATTTACCGTATGTACTTACAGTTCAGTGGATGATAAATCAGATTATTACACTACAAGTTGCAGGTTAACTTTAAGAGTTAACACTATTTTGCAATATGAAGTGCTTCTTAATATATATATCTATATAATATATAGATATTTGTAAAATACTCGTGCAGATTTGATAGAACAAACTATGGAGTCTTTTCTTCCCATTAACATTAAACTCTCAAGTCTTTTCTTCGCATTTACAGATCTTTACCTCCTACACAAGGAGTCTCAGGATTCAACAAGGATTTCCACAATATGATCAAGCTCATTAAGATCAGATTTACAATTAGAGTTAGAAGCTGTATTTGTTGGAGAAGAAAATGTTTCAAGCCCATCACAATGTCCCATTTTTGTGTTGCTCATCATGCCTGTTAACATAGTATCAAGATCATAGTAAGAATTGTCAACTTCTGAAAACAGATCTTCAACCGAATTAGGACTTTTATTCTCCAGTGTCTCAAATATTTGATCTAAAGATTTCTGAAAGTTTCCTTTATTTTCTTGTGGATTCTCCATTTCCCACACGTTGCCTTGCAGGTTTCTCGGAGCTTGCACTGAAGAGGCTGTTGACATAGTTTCTGAACTATCTTGTCCCTCGTCACCCTCAAAGTCTTTACTCAAAGTACCATAGCCTGGAACATGCTTTCCCTCAGCTTGTTCCCTAGATGAACGACAGAGGATATCTGTTGAAACAAGACGATCCAGGGATGTCTGCCCTGTACTCTGTGTACTTATCATCTGCCAAGTCCCATCCTGAGTCATTTCCTCTTGGATCTGACGTACCGTGTTGGCTATAAGTACCGAACGACAGAGGTTGGGTTCAACCAGCATGTGACACAGCTGAAGTTTAACCAAGGACATATCTAAAAGCGACTGCCTCTGAAGATTATAGGAAGGAATAGCCTTAATACCAGCCAGAGTCCCTTCAACATCTTCTTCACCATCAAAACATTTTCTCTTTAGTCCTCGAACAAACATTGTGTCCTGTTAAAAAAACAAACAAATCTTGTACAACATCAACAGCTCAGGAGGGAGGGGAGAAACAAAAAAAGACTAAAAAACAGAAAAGCAAATTTTAATCTTAAATTTAAAAAGCAAATTCTTTAAAGATAGAAACATCAGAATTGTCATACCAGGTTATAGAAAGCCAGTGTGGTACAACATGGGTCAGGAACATATGGACTGGGTCCCAAAGACGGCATTCAGGAACCAGGGGTGAGCAGGTCCACAAGGCATGGCATTGGAGAGAGGCAGGGGCTCCCAGCTCCTGGCTCCCATGAAGCTCCACACTTGATGGAAGTCAGGAGCCGCTGCTTCGCACAGAAGCAAACATCTCAATGGCTGTATTTCACCTACTGGAGAGGCAGTGCCTCCTCGCTCCTCCCGAGTTTCTACTGGCATGCTTAACCTCTAATTTTGGAAATAAAAATACAACCTGGCACACCATCTTTAAAAGATTTGACCCCTCCAGAACATTAACATGCCTAACAAAGCAACATGAAAAAAATACTACGGGCAGCATTTGTGAAAAGATTAGCTTATTTTGGCTACACAGAGAGTAGTATCTAGATTTGTTCCATGTAACTTGAGACATTCAGCTGAGGTGCCCAAAGCAGTCCTTCCAGTTCCCTTACTCAGGTGAGGAGGTGAACTGCATAATTCCAATAAGAACTGTGCAAGTCCAATAAAGATAGTAACAGTCATCCTCCATATGGGCTACTATACTCCTTTCCCAGTTGACTTAAGACAGCAAAATTCTTCTTCTGAATTGCACTATTTTTGACAACAGTGCCTCATGCAAATATTGCACTTGATCCTTGGAATACAAAGTAGCTTTTTTTTTTTAATGCAGTAGGTATAATTTCTTCTAGTCTTATAAAAAAATCAGGCTGCAAATGAAAGCTGGTATCTGATCTTTCCATTTATGCTTCTTCGTTACTTCCCTTCTAAGTCTTCTGTCCTTAAAATTCCTGTTTGTCCAATATCTGGGGATTTTTTTTTAATGCAGTAACCCAAACAAAACACAGTTTTTCAACTAAAAGCTGATAAAACCAAAATACTATTGCAGTGTCTTTCTATATAATTTCCCATTTCCCTTGGTAAGCCCTAAACTCTGCCTTGCTTTTCTGGTTGCTACAGTATATTCCATGTATTTTCTGAGAGCTCTCTCTCAGCTCTTTCAGAGTCACTAAAAATCCACCAAAGGGCAACAACACTGTTCTTTTCAAAATACATTACATGCTTATCTACTGTGAAAACCTGGGGATAGCACAGTAGCGAGATAAACACTTGGTTTGACTCCATACAACACTTCTTACATTGCTGTACATATCCATGAAATAACCTTTTTTGGGATTTGCTGACTCTTAAAAGACTCCTTTCCACTGAAGGTACAAAACTCTTTAGAAATCTTAATGTGCAGAGACTACAATATAGAATACATGAACTTGGTCTTATGGTTATTTTTCATTATTTCTTAAAAAGTTATCCATGGAATAACAATATATTAAACACCTTAGAAGTTTCTTGAAAAATTTTATCCTGTAACCTAACATATTTGCATAATTCTCATTAAATATAACCCGTGTTTCTGCCTGACAGTGCCTTTTCCAGATTTTTAGACATTCCTGCAAACTTCCTATCAGAGGATATCCTATTTATGTACAGCCACTCACCCTCCCCTCCATGTGAAACAACCTCTAGAAAGATCTTTTGGGACTATTAACAAACCATGTCATCAAACATTAAACACTGTGCAGAGTTTGCAGTTTCTTTTATTTCAACTTATATTCTTGTCAAGAGTAATTAAAACTTCAATTGAATGTTAACCTGGTTTACATACACCTAATGTTTGGCATTTAAATGCCTTCGAAGGCACACCAACAGAAAACAGAACACAGTAGAAAACTTGAAAACCTCAATACATCACTCACACACTTGGGCACGTAGGAGCAGAGGAAAAATGTTTATGGATTCTTAAAGGTAAACCTTTCACAGCATTCACTGGGGGTTTTTTATAACACTTGCTTCCAATTAGTGTCTTACACCATAAAGCCAGCTCTTTGTCACCCTGTTCTTGCGACTGCACAAAATACTGTGTTATGGTTTAATTTAAGAAACAAAAAATGACATACCAGTAACTGTGTTTGATGTACTCCTTCCTCTTCTCCCATGCTACTGAGCAAGAGTCCATACAGCAAAAGTAAGAGCACCACCTACCAAGTATGGGGAAGCAGGATGTCAGGCAAGGACAGGAGATGAAGAACAAAACAGTTTTGCTTCGATATCTCTATCCTCATGTCATTCCTACAAACTTAAATAGTACTATTAAACCCAATTCACAGATAGAACAAAAATTTGGCCAACAATACACCCAAAATCTGCAGCAGAAGGAAACTGCCAGTTTAATTCCAAGTCCTAGGCTATTACCCTGACCTTTGGACCAGCCTCTCCCTTATCCCTACACCTTTTGCCATTTAAAGAGCAAACAAAATCTTCAGTGCTCATCTGAAACATTGAAGTGAGCACAAAAGCTACTGAAAGCAAGTTACTTTTGTTACAAAATGATACATTTTTCACCTTGCTGTACAAAGCCGTGCATATCTCTGTAGCATCTAGAGAAAAAGAGCAGGCAGGCACAAACCCAAAACTGAAACGCAGCTAAACCAGAGAGAATTTTCCTTTACCAGCACAGAAACTTTATGACTAAGATTTACTTTGCAAGATGACAATAATGAAAGTAATGACAGCAATGAAGTTGTTTTAACTATAAAGGCTGAGTTTTTAAAACACATTTAAGGCAAAATAAGATTTTATATATCAAACACAACTTCCAATCGTATGCAACAATTCCCTTAATTACTGAATCCGAAAAGAATGCTGTTTCAACAGGCTACAAAAACTTTTATGATAAACTATGAAAACAATTCAGATACTTTTCTAGACATGTCTGTACAATACAAGACAGTTCTGTGTCTGCAACTGAAATGCATACCTAGAAAAGAAACAAGTAAAGAGGACGCACATGGATATCCCCTCTTGTTTTCTACTATGGGTAGTAACAAACAATTTTTCAAGGGGGTTTGCTCTCAATATTGGGAGGGAAGAAGGTGGCCGACAAAGGACTTGCGGGTGGGGGTGTAGAAAACATGTTTTTCCTCAAGAAGCTGCATTGTCATTAAAATACCACAATGGAAAAAAACCCCACCTTTAAACATTCTCAAGCCAAAATCCTTTGACTTGACCCCAAATATTCAGATTAAATGCTGTTATATCATGGAAACTGTATTTCAACCAACTCATAGTTTCATTCTCTTTTATGGACTGAGCCCACAGCAACATTCAAAATAGTGTCTCAAGGCATCTGAACTACAACTTCAGTCACACACCACAGTATCAAAACAATAAACTATTTTTTATTTCTGGCAAACACTTTATGACACTATAAAATGTCAGAAGTTTTTGCTCCCCAGCTATACTTTCAAAACACTCTATAAATGAAAAATTATCTCTTTGAGAGCCTGTTATATGGTAACCATTTGAATCCCAAAATTTCTGCTTTCCTGTAGGGTAGTTGACATGGGCATAAACTTCGTTTAAAAAAAAACCACCCCAACAAAAAACCACCCCACAATAACTACAGGTAAAAACAGTGCAGTCACGAGAAAAACAAACTGAAATATTTTCTGGTGCTATTTGGTTTATCTGACAATTTTCGGGGAACAGGCTTTGGCCGTTTGCCCCCCAGAATAGCGGACCAATACAGGAGGGGATGGTTGAAGGAGCTCTTGGTAAAAGAGCCATTACCACGTTGACAAACTAAATGACAGGGGATGCTGGCAGACCAGTCCAGTCTGTAACCTATTTACATACTAAAGAAGGAAAGTTTTCCCATGCAATATAATAATGGGCATGTGATTCCAGGTTCTTCCCTAGAGCAACTGCCAAACCACGTGGACCTCTGTTAGTATAAACTTATGAGAATATGTCCATCACAGCAATAATTTCTTTAGGTTCTGTTAACTGGCATACATATGTGCACCAGAACCCAAGTTCTCTGTAAAAGCACATTAACTTCATAGCCATTATCAGATGCAATTAAAACCTTGCACATAAATGACCTCCTGCAGACTTCTCTGCGCTGTCTCCAATAAGCACTCATCTCAAGAGAATGCTGAATTTAAAACTTAATTAATTAAAATCTCAGTACGTTTTCCTATTGATTTATGTATTAAGGTACTCAAAAAGGCATTATCCATTGTGTAAAGACTGCTCCTGCTTCAGAGTCAAGGTGTTCAAAATCCCCCAATAATTTCAAGCATCTGCCTCTGCCCAAGAGGCAATGTCTGGACTAGTTACATCATCTCCCATCTTCCACTGCTATCCCAGTGTCATGAGCTCAAACTTGGTGTGTTAAACTAAACCTCTGTTTGAAACAGTTATTAAAAAAAAAAAAAAAAAAAAAAAAAAAAAAAAAAAAGCTGTCAAGGAGACAACAGCCAGCTGCAGAATAACACACCAGGAAAAAGGAATTTGGGTGTTTGCTTTGTTTTTAATAGTAGCACAGGGAGCACAGTATTATGTAATTCATTACAAGTTTTGGTTTTAGGACTGACAAATTCCCAGTCTGCTTTACAAATAAGGTGCTTGAAATCTGATCCGACTCTTACTGGAGCATCAACTTAAGGCATTCCAGATTCACACTCAATTCAGACTCATATAGTGATATGCTGCCAAAGATACAGTTAAGTACTGAAGGGGAAAAGCTGCTTCCCGTTAGTTGGGGTAACAGAGAAGACAGGGAATTTTAGCAGTGCTCATTTTTAGGAGAAAGCAGACAAGACCTACCCAGGCCAGTGCTGGAGGTTCAGTGAAGCACAGTCTGCCTTCTGTACAGCTTTAAGTACAGTGATGATGGTTAGCAAGGGAAGACAAGAAGGGGCTGTATCTCCCCTCTACCACTCTAATTCTCTCCACTCCAACACTGGCTTTTCTAAGAACCGTGGGAAGAAACCAAAGCTCTGTGTAATGGTGAAAAAGAGACAGAAAGAGAGCTACTACTCCTCTTTAGACACGCACGTGGGCGCATATGGTGGTGTCGAGTTATAAGGTGGGATGCAGACACAGCAGAGGGCTAGCAGGGCTAGAAACATCCCTATTCGGATCGGGACAAAGGACCCTATAAAGCTCTGGGGTCTGGTCCACCCTCCGGGGCGTAGGGGGCTGGCTGGCAGGCACCTCTTCGGGGCACGAGGGATTCGCGAAGGGGTTCCAACTCCCGAGGAAGGGCAGGGTGGGCAGCTGGGGCGGGAGCTCGCGGAAACGCAGACGGGGCCGGGGTGCGCCGAGCGGGGGGAGCTCGGCAGAGCCGGGGGGAGAGGCGGGACCGGGGCGGGGAGCCGAGGGGGAGCTGCCCGGCGGTGGGAGGGCAGCGGGGAGCCCGGGGGTGGAGGCGGGGGCGACGCGGAAGCGCGGCTGGGGACGGGACCCAGCGGAGGAGGAGAGGGGAACGGGGGAACGGGGGAACGGGGCTCTTGTCCCGCCTGCCCCGGCCCCTCAGCGCGCCCGGCGGTTACTCATCGCCGCGCGCTCCCGCCGCCATTTTGAATCGGCTCTGACCCCTCCGCGGGCTCCGCCAGCGCCAGTACCAACCCCCCAAGGGCCCGACCCAGCCCAGCCCGCCGTACTCACCGCCTCGCCGCTGCTGTCGCCGCCGCTCGCGCAGGAGCCCTCACTCCGCTCCCGCCTCACCGCCCACTCCGCGCCCGAGGGACGGGCGGAGCCACCCAGCCCCGCCTCCCCACGCCCGCCATCTTATTGTCAAACCCCACAAAGGGACCAGCAGCCTCGGGGGCGGGCCTTCCCCGGCGGCCACGCCCACCAGGTGCGCGGCGACCGCTGTTATTGGCTGCCGCCAAGCCACGCAGCCTCCGCTCAGCGCTGCGATTGGCCACAGAGCCCGTCTGTCCCGCCCCGGGCTCCGCCCCCGGAGGCGGCGGGGTTGCCATGGCGGCCGGGCCCTGCCCCTCAGCCCTGAGAGGCTGAGGGAGGCGGGGGCGGGGGCGAGGCGGGGCCGCCCCGATTTCAAACGGTGGCCAGGGCCCCGCGGCGTGTCTGGGCTCTCGGCCACGGGCTCCGGCGGGAACAGGTTCAGACCTGGCCGTGCTGCAGCCCGCGGGGAGCCGCGGGAGTGGGGCGTTGGCGGCCCCGGCGCTCCCCGCCGTCAGGCGCCGCTTCCTTTAGGGCTGGGGAGCCCCCGGCGCTGCTCCCCGCCGGGATGTCAGGGGGGCCTCAGGACTCCATCAGCAAGGCCTGTGGCGTTTCCTGTTCGGGCCCGGTCGCTCGGCCTCGGGTCTCTCAGTCAAGCCGGGAACCCGCGTCCTTGGGGAGGGGGTGACGCCTCGCACACCGCGGGGAGCCGCTGTCCGAACACCAGCCCAGGTGGCCAAGAAGGCCAGTGGCATCCTGGCTTGTATCAAAAATAGTGTGGCCAGCAGGACAAGGGCAATGTTCATTCCCCTGTCCACTTCTGGTCCTCTCAGTCCTCTCAGGAAGGACATTGAGGTACTGGAGCAGGCCCAGAGAAGGGCAATGGAGCTGTTGAAGGGTCTGGAGCACAAGTCTTAGGAGGGGGAGCTGGGGGGTGTTTAGCCTGCGGAAAAGGAGGCTCTGGGGTGATCTTATCACTCTACAACTCCCTGACAGGAGATTGTACCTGGGTAGGGGTCGGTCTTTTCTCCCATGTAAGCAGTGACAGCATGAGAGGACATAGCCTTAAACTGTGCTAGTGGAGGTTTCGGTTGGACATTGGGAATAATCTCTTCGCAGCAAGAGTGATTAGACACCGGAACAGGCTGCCCAGGGAGAGTCATGTCCCTGAAAGTGTTTAAGGAAATACTGGACACGGCACTTAGCGCCAGGTCTGTTTGACACGGTGGTGTTTGGTCATAGGTTGGTCTCGAGGATCTGTGAGGTCTTTTCCAACCTAATCGCTTCTGTGATTCTGTCCCCAGAGCTGCCGCTGCCCCGCTGAGCAAACCCCCCCTCCCCGAGCCCTGCGCGCCGCTCTGACCCCAGCCCAGTGCAGCTGCACATCTGCAACCACTTAGGCCGCCCCAGCGTCTCCCAGTCGCTCTCCCGGCAGAGCAGCTACGTGCCGGCTGCTCCAGAGCTGCCAGAGGGAAGGAGGGGGGGCTGGCCCAGCCTGCGGCTGCCGCCTCCCGCCCCCGGGGCGCGTCGGGGAGGAGAGGGAAATGGAGAAAGGGTGGGATAGACAGCGGGAGCGGGGACATCAGCGAGGCTTTGGAGCTGAGGTCTCGTAGAAAAGGCTGTGAAACGGCAGAGCTGTAGCTTGGTATGATAAAGCAGGAGGAAATAGCATTTCCATGGCAAAGCAAGATCTGCCTTTGGGACGAGACAGGTTTCAAAGCGCAGTATTTCCCCTTGTTTATTTACGGTTCCTGGCACCGCGCTTATGGCATCCTGGTGCAAAAACATGATCAAAACTGTGCAGGAACAATACCGCAAAGAGATTCTCGTGCTCTGCCCAGCTCGTCATTGAATGTCCTGAGTTGGAAGGGATCCACAAGGATTTTTGAAGTGACAGCTCCTGGCCCTGCGCAGGACAACCCGAAGAATCACACCATGTGTCTGAGAGTGTTGTCCACATGCTTTTTGAACCCTGGTAGGTTTGGTGCTGTTGATTTTTAATGTTGGTGGTGTGATTTGTTTTGGTTTTTTTTTATATTTTATTTTTTCTTAGCCCCTGTCCTTTAATAAGGATTTCACTTGGGAAATAAAGGCATAACATCAAAACATGAAACATGGCTTTGGATCTGATGAATCGATTAAGATTCTCAACTACAACCAGTCTTAGCATTAGGCTTTCACTCGACTCAGGTATTTCTTTAAAAGTCTCTAAGTGACAAACATTTAGGTGTTTTCTACCATGATACCCAGACTTGCAGCAAGGAAGTGAAGTTTCCACATGCAATATATATACTCTTAACACATATTTGTCACTTTATAGTAACAGGACCACACCATATCCTTCGTTATTATGGATCACATTATTGGCCATGGTTTCCTTGGGAATATCATAATGTTCATCTAAGAAGCTCTTTGTAAGTATTCCCTCCTTGCAGCAGTGCATGCTGTTGTTTAACAGAGTGCATGCACTACCTGGATATATTTCCATACCAGCACCCTTGACACCACACAGATCTGAGTTTTTCATCAGTAGCTAGGCTGATGTTTACACTGTTATGCCTGTGGTTTCACATTGTAACACACAGCTCTCCAGGGTGGTTTTCCCATGTTGGAAATTGAAAATCCCCTCGGTGACATCGTGTTGCATTAACTTCAAACTAGAGATCCTTACAGTGGCTCCTGGACAGTCGAAATAGTGGTCTGCTTTTCCTTGTTTTTCTATCACAATATTTTCTGGCAGGCCTTAGCCTTTGAGTTCAACTAAACCAACAAAGTGACCTGAACAGATGATGACTGTGTCTCCTTCATAACAAGCATTTACAGCTGACAACAGGTCATGGTGAAACTGTATTTCTAGGTTTTCACCAGGATCAGCTACAAGCCCAGAAGGCACATGGTGTTCGAGGATGTCACAATGCAACCTCAGTCAAGGCTCAACACATCACACAAAGTAATCAAAGTCATCCTCCTCATCCCAGTCCTCCAGATGCACTGGTAGAAGAACCTGACGTGCTCTATAGCTTATGCTGTCTGGTCAAGCTCTCCTGATTCATACACAGTCCACAGCTCCTGCACTGGTACCTGACATCCCTTCAGCTTCAAGGGTTCCTGCATGTGCTCCAAGGCAAAGCTGCTGTCCTATGACTTGCACAGGACAGGCTCTCTGAGTTGCACAACTGCTTTAAGAGCTGAGTAGTCCACACCAAACACCCCAATAAGAACCTCAATCATGCCAGATTTCCTGCCATCCACACATTTCAAGGACTTTTTCCAGGTACTCATATGTGAATTGTTTCACCTCGGAAGCTGTACAGTGTTAAGGAAGACTTTGGACCCTGAGTTGGCAGAGGCAGAGTTTGTTGAGCTGGTGCCTCTGGAGAGGGACCCAGAACAAAGAAATCCTTGGGCCTTTATCCCTCAGAATCTCTGCACCTGATTCTTCCCGTGCTCCTTACTTGCCTAATAGTGTGGAGTTTTCCAACACCTCATTGGATTCTTTCTCCGTGTCCATGTGGGCAGGCCATTAATTGTTCTTTTCTTCCAGCTTGGGGCCCTCCAGGGCTTCAACCTTATCTGAAGATAGTCTTTCTCTGTTTACTCCCCTGCTTAGCTCTCCATGCTAACAAACAATGCATTTAAAGTTCCCAGGCTTTGACCAGGGCCCACTCATGCTAAGCTGTAAGCAAGTTACAATTAAACTTAACCCTAGACTACTAATGTCTAAAATTCTATAAGTAAACTTAATTTAATCCCCAACATGCAGTCAGCCAAGATGTAACCCTGGCAAGATCTAAATCACTTGTGAAGCAAAAGATGATTGGTGTGAAAAGTATCTGGAAAAAGCACATTCCCGTCTGGCACAGTCCTTCCTAAAAACAGTCCCTGGTTTGTCAGGACTGCCGCAGTCACTCCAGGAGTCATCGCTCCAGACGCTCTCAGCATCTTCCCGGAGCAGACCTAGGGCTCCCTCTCAGTGCACTCTGGCAAGCCACCACCTCTCACAGCCAGCAGCAGGGCCTGACCATCCCCCCACAGCCCCCTGGCAGCCCTAGCTCGGCAGGAATTCAAATAGGTGTTCCCACAACAAATCCTGCAAGAACCTTTGAGCCTCCATGGAGGCCCCTCTCGAGGCAGTATGAGGGCTGTTCCCTGGAGGATCGCTGCCAGAAGAGTTCATTTGCTTGGCTCTTTGTAGTGATAGCATTATCTATACAGTAAGGTACTTAAGTCCCCTCTCCTTATCCCCCTTTTTTTTTCTTCTGATTAGCTATAATGACAGGGTCTTGACTGTTTTGTTTGTGGGTTCCCCCCCCAGTAACCTCATGAAACAAGAGGATGTCTTATGGCTTAAGAACTACATCATCTATGTTTCTGATTAAACCAGTGAAAGAAAAATTGTGAAAGGCTCTCCGTTTTCTTTGAAAAGCTGAGAAACTATTGATGTCTCATCAAGATATGATGAGATTTGATTATTCTCAGGAGAAAACAACTCTCACATCTCACATATGGGAGAAAAAAACCTCGAAAACTCAAAATGGAAAAATCTGGACAGACCTATGCAAAACAAAATAGCCTGAAGTATCTACTAGAGAGCAAACAATCTCTGATAGAACTAGAGTTAAAAACAATTTAATTTAATTATAACCACAGTATAATAAAGAGAACAATCAAATTTTAGCTACACTCTAAAAGTTTTCACTCT